TTTACTTTTTTGGGGAACTATGGATTGATCTCAGGCCCTTGCACTTGCCAGGCAAGTGCTTATATTACTGAGCCATCTCCCCACTCCCAATAATCAGTGAGGAGGCACATGCCAGAAAACTCAACAGGAAGAGAGCCATACCTGGACACACTTGCATAAATGTTTTGAGTTGCACCAAGGACCCCCTATAGAGATGGATACTCTTACACCTCTCCTCAACCTACGAAAGAATAACATATGAGCCAGACTCAGATCCTTCCCTATGAAGACAAGAGACAAAGGAAATGGAATGACAGTGACAGACTTGAGGCATAAAAGGTGTGACTTGAGAATTTTCTTTATCACATTTTATATTTTACTACTTATTATAACAAAAAAGGCTCCCCTGTTCAGTATTCTTCAGTTTCTTAGTTGCCCAGGTAACAATTCCTCTTCTAGTTCCAGTCACTGTAATGCATAGCTTGTCCCTATGATGCACATTATATAAACCAACCCCAAGTTGACAAACCTCTGTCTCTCTTGCTTGCTTAGCTCATATAAGGCCTAGACCACCAGAAATCAGGGCCTCACATTCTGGGAGTGATTAAGATCAATGCCCATCAGTGTGAGGAAATTTGCCTCCAAATTCTGGGTGTCATTTTGGTATTTCTGCTTGCCACTGTCCCATGAGATAATCAATTTTTTTTACATAATCAATTTTTAAACAAACTATTTAAAACTGTTGCCTTAAATGTTCTTGTACCCGCAAGTTTTTTTTTTGTTTCCAGTGTACGTTCACTGACTTTTTTCCCCATAATTTTATTGAGAAATAAATAGCAATGAAAGTTTCAAATCAAATTTGTAGGACAGTTCCAATAATTAACACACTGCATGCTGCCTTCCTAGTGGTTATTTGTTGTACAAGATGCAGAAATGATATCCTATTTACAAACACTATTAAAACAAATCCCTCTATTCTTTGAATTAAGAGGATGTAGCTATATATATATCCTAACCATTTTGAAGACACAGATACAAAATGGACATTCATCTATATCCCCTTTTTATGTTTAGTTCCATCATTTAAATATTATAGGTGTGTGAACTCAGCAAAATATTCCAAAATAGTCCAGTAGTCCATAATAGTATTGGGTCTTCCACTTGACTGGCAATGTCAGAAGTCGTTGATCTGAGTCCCCTACAGCTCAACATAACAACATGGCTTTATTTCTTGTACTTCATTTTCATACTTTTCTGCTGGATAGTAAAGACCAAGATAAAGCAAGACCTATGCAACAAGAGTTGTAGCTTTTGGATCTGATAAGGTCAGTCCAATCCCCTTAGGATTTATCCTGAGACCCTGTACCTCAAATTGTAGATCCTTTGTTAGTGTCAGCCATGTGGATGAGTCACAGCCATTGCT